GTATTGATTCCTTGTTCATTGTGAACCTAAGCTGTTTTAGTTGTTACTCTGGATTGCTGTTAATATTGTATCTCCCCTTAGCATGTTTCCCCTCCCATGTCGTTAATTACTTGGTATTCGATTTCCGCTGTATATTTATAATTGCACAGGTTTATGTGATGTCCAGTCTAGCCTCGTCACTACTTCGCCGGGGTTAGGCTAGACACTTACCAGCACATGGGGTCGGTTGTGCTGATGCTACACTTCTATGCATTTTTGCACAGGTCCAGGTTTTGAGGAGCAGCAGCAGCGGTAGTTCGGGAGCAGACTTTCCTATTCACGAGACTGAGGTAGCCTTGCAGGCGTCCGCAGGCCCGACGTCTCTTCTATATGTTTTCCTTTTGACTGTTGCCTCATTGTTTTCAAGACAGACAGCTGTTATATTTCTTTCAGACCTTTGTATTTAGTTTATTCTTAGTGGTTCGTGAGTAATGTGACACCAAATCTTGGGTAGAGGCTATTGTTGACTATTCCGCGTTTTGATTCAGACTTATAAATTAGACTTCCGCTATTATTATTATTAAATTTCATATTTCTTATTGATGCTATGGATTGTTAACAGATTTATTCATTAATGAAAGGTAAATAAGTTGGCTTGCGTAGCTACCACGAATAGGCGCCATCACGATCCCGATGGTGGGAAATCCGGGTCGTGACAATAACCCATTCCCTTGCTCCTAAATAAATTCTAAAGTCTCAAATGGTTATCATCAACATTATTCTTTATCACCCATAAGGTAAACAATACTCTTAACCAATAATTAACAATCAACAACCCAAACCTATAACCGTTCATGATTTTCTATCAAATCCATCAACTCATATTTCATGAACTAGTGTCTATAACCATTAATTCAATGATAGAATCAATTAGAGGGTGAAGATATTACCTTTTTGACGTTCAATCTTCTTGAATTCGAGTTCTAGGGTTTCTTATCTCAACAATGGTGTCCCCATCGAATGTCTAATGATATGGAGGGTTTACCCATGTTAATAAGATGTTGGAAAATTAAAATTAACTTAGAATCACCATTAGAACTTACCTTGGGTGGTGGAAGGACCCTTAAGGAGTTAGTTTTTTGAGAGCTTTACTTTCTAGAGCAAGTTTTTATGTTTTGGGGGTGTGGGGGACGAAGTAGAGCCTTAAAATAACCCCCCACTAGCGCCCCCACGCACCTGGAGGCCCAACCCGCGCTACTGGCCGCGCTAAATGGCCAGTATGAAACCCCATTAGCGCGGGCGCGCTAGTCTCGCGCTAGTGGGCGCGCATATGGCGTAGTGTTCTGTAAAACGCGCATAACTTTTTGCACATATATCCGTTTGGGCTCCATAGTATATTGTTGGAAAGCTATTTCAAAGGCCTACAACTTTCATGCTTTGAGTTTTCCCCAATTCCTTACACATATTTACTAAACACTTCTGGAAAATGGACCTTCTGCAAACTTAGTCGATTTTGTCGAATCTTATGCACCTCACTTTCCATCTTGATTTTGAAACCACTATTTCCAACCATAATCATCCCGATAGGACTTCATACGTCTAAAATATCAAATTAATACCCATTTAACATATCCACACCTAGTCCGAATGTACGGGGTGTTACAATTTTGATGGGCCTTATAATAGTCAACCCACCCAGCCCTATCTGGGCTGCGGGCCTCACGGACCGGCCCATCATTTTTTAAAATATAATTTTATATTTTTTCTTTAAGTTCTAAACTAAAGAAAGATAAAAATTTAAAAGTTTAAAAAATCATATTGGAAATTTTGTACAAAACTTAATAACTTTTTATATTGTTCTAATATATCACAATAAACACATTTAGAGGTATCTATGGCCAAACACTAACTTAGCAGAAACAAATAAATTTGAGAAATATGTTTTAAAACTGATGTCCAAACACATTTTTCATCTTCAAACCAAACTTCACCCAAATCAGATTTTCAAAACAAATTTAGGAATGTATGGCCGAACACTACCTTAGAGTTCATATTTTCTATAATTTAAAACTCCCGTACAATTTGCTTGAGTTCAAAATTATATAAGTTACTCCAGTAAGCTGAAATTTAAACTCCACCACAATGAGCATCCATCTCTGTAACTGGTGATGATTTGGAAACTCAGACTGACAATGCTTCTTTGATTTAGAAAATTCGCACAATGTTTTGAGGTTGGATAATTAATGAGTCATGTGATAATTCTAAAGTCCCCAAATATTCTTACCTTCAAATACCAAATCCTCAACAAATATTAACATATTTCAATCAAAATAATCAACAAACCTTACACTCTGTTTGGATCATTTTTCCCTATCGTTTTATAATGTATTGTATTGTATTGTATCGTATTATACCGTATCATTTTATGAATACAATGTTTGAATAAATTGTACTGTTTGTTATTGTTAAATAATATTTTGTTGTTTGGTTTGACTGTATCGTACTGTACTGTAACTGATAAGTTTACTAAAATACCCTCAATTGTTTAAATATTAAATTTATCAAAATTATGTATAAAAATAATTTTAAAAAACAAAACAGAAGAAGGCAAAACACAATAAGGAAGTAGAACAAAGGAGGGAGACAAAAAAAGGCAAAACAAAGAAGCACAACTAATTAGAATTGAGTTACAAGCAAATTAGGAGAAAAAATAAAACAGGAGGCAACAAAACACCTTTAACATTGGTCTGGAAAAAAACAAAGTAGGTTATAAGTTGGAGATTTGAAGCTAAAATAGAAAAAAGATAAAGGGTAAAATAGAATTATGGAGTAATAAGTTAGGGCATAATTGGAAAGAAAAATAGGAAACAATCCCACCACACCAATCGGTTGTTTAAAAAAAGGGACTTTTCATTGTTCCGAACAATGGACAATACAATACAACCGATTTTAATGAAACAATCAAAACAAACATTGTTTTGGGATAACAATACAATACAATCCAACCGGGAACAACCATCCAAACAAGCTGTTAATATAAAAATTGAAGCTGTTGTTGATTATCATCGGCGGTTCTAGTTGCCGAAGATTGGGAAGCTTCACCGGAATAATCGACGGCGACGAACGGGCGATGATACGAATCTGGATTGGTAAGTTTTACTTTGTATATTTGCTTTATCTCTTCTTTCCCAGGGATATAACCCGCCCATGTAAAGAGTGGAGGATTATTGATGCGATTTTAGAAAATGCAGAAAAAGTTGGTCTGTGTGATTTTGTTCAAATTTGATTTTCGATTTAAAAATAGTTATAATCTGCAAACTTTTGAACCTGCGGCTATTTTTTCAATACGTACTCTAAAAATGGCTAATCGTGAACTTTATCCAACTAGTTCAGTCCAAATCCAACTTAGTTCCGAATTTTTTGGGCTAGTCATCGGCAAAATCCGTAAAAATTGTGTGGGGTAGCCACTATTTAAAGTGGTATTTACTTTTTATTCATCATTTTTAATGCTTAGCAAAACTAGCCACTAGTCTATTTAAATTAATATGAAAAGACTGAGTTACCCTTTCCTTCCCTTGCTTTTCTTCCCATACGCTTCTCTCTCTCAGTTCAATGCATGCCTGTGTTCATAGATAATCCTTGTAACTTTGAAAATCACCCGCCTACTTGCAATGGCGATTTCTAATTCAACAAGGTCAACGTCATTATATTAGTGTTAAATTTTGCGATCTGGTCCCAGAAAAGGAATCGGGAGGTTGCTGTCTGCTTGTTGTACTTGTGAACCAGCGGCCAATGCTATAACGATACGTCCCATAAAGCTTGTGGGAGCACAAGGGTTATACAAACAATGGAGATTTGACGGCCAAGAATGGAGGACGGTCCAAAGGCATTCCCACGTCCCTCTCTGCTACAGTGCTACTTGTATTATTTCTCAAAGGTTGGGCGGAGAACATACTAGGTTTCTGGAAAAAAAACTGCAAATGGCATATACTACTAGTTCCATTTCGTTTGACCATTCTTAATTTGATTTACGCATAAAGTATAAGTATGTTAAAACAAGATGATTTAGGCATAAAGTATAAGTATGTTAAAACAAGAAAAATCGTCTCAAACTAATAGGTCCTGAACTTAGGCTAAGAAGCCCAAAAGTTAAGGACAGGCAGTCCTTAACTTACAGTTACAAGTTCAAAAGTTAAGGACAATAGGTACTTAATTCTGATTTCCAAGTTCAAAAGTTAAGGACAAACAGCAGTTACAAGTTCAAAAGTTAAGGACAATAGGTCCTTAACTTTGATTTCCAAGTTCAAAAGTTAAGGACAGACAGTCCTTAACTTACAGTTACACATTCAAAAGTTAAGGACAAACAGTCCTTAACTTACAGTTATACGTTCAAAAGTTAAGGACAATAGGTCCTTAACTTTGACTTACAAGTTCAAAAGTTAAGGACGTTTGGTCTTGAAGTTTGAGTTCCAAGTTCAAAAGTTAAGGACGTGTAACCTTGAAGTCCTGAACTTAGAGTTCCAAGTTCAAAAGTTAAGGACATGTAATCCTGAAGTCCTTAACTTAGAGTTACAGGTTAAAAAGTTAAGGACATGTAGTCTTGAAGTCCTGAACTTAGAGTTTCAAGTTCAAAAGTTAAGGACATGTCGTCCTGAAGTTCTGAAGTTAAGGACATGAGCATAAGGGTATTTTCGTCCGGGCAGTTAAAGTTTATTAAACCAGTGGCTAAAGACTAAAGACATTTAAAACACTGGCTTTAAAATAAAGACATGAGCTGTTAGTGGCTATTTATGCACATCGCCCGCAAAATCCATGTCAATATAGGAATTTACTTGCACGCCGAGTCCAAATCCTAGTTCCTAAATGAGAAAAAATTTGGGTTTGTCATTGGTATTCCAAATCCATGTCAATATAGGAATTTGCTTGCTCGCCTATATAAATGTCCTTAGATTCTTTTGTCTTGCTATGGAAGCGGTTCTTTTCCTTGCCCTAGAAATAGAGAAGCCTCACATCCTCAAACTATGGCCAACTGGGCAGAGTGTCCCATCGATCTGATTACTGAGATTGCAAAGCGTGTTAAAGTGATTGAAGATTTCATTGCTTTTGGTGCCGTTTGTACCTCATGGCGAACTGCTGCCCCAAAGCATAATTTTGATGTGCTTTCGCCCCAAGTCCCACTGCTTATGTTGGGTGCCAAAGATGATGATTATCGAGAATATTACTCTCTTTCCAAGAAGAAAGTTTTACGCATATATCTCCCGGAAGCTAGAGGACAAGAGTGTTTACCATCGGAGGGATGGCTTTGCACGGTGGCAAATAATACGGGGGAGATGAACTTGTTGCATCCTTTCTCTCAAATCAAAATACAGCTTCCCTCCCGAAAAGACTTACTGTCTTTTCATGGTTTGGATTATCTCGAAAGACCACGTGAAGGGAAACGTTGGCACTGCATAGACAAAGCTATCTTATCTGCAAATCCATCTCTTACATCAGATTATGCGTTGTTGGTGCACTATTATGCAGGAGGTTCTTGTTTGGCTTTTTGGCGACCCGGAGATCTTAATTGGACGGAGATTGATGTTGTTACTTATGGTGGAGTCTGCAATATGATTTTTTGTAAAGGCCAATTTTATTCCGTGAGTTACGGTGGGGAAGTATGGGTTTATGATATTGCAGGGCGTAGCATTGCTCAACCAAGTGTACAAACACGCTTGCTTGCTGAGCTTGAAGATGATATGTTTAAGCTGCCTTCAGTTCAGTTCTACCTAGTTGAGTTATCTGGTGCATTATTACTTGTTACTCGATATGCAATCAGGAGCATAGGTGAGGATCCAAACGGTGCTTTTAAGAGCTTTAAATTTAAGATCTGTGAACTAGATATAACCAAAGGTAAATTCAAGGAAGAGGATATTAAAACCTTGGGAGATTCATCAATATTTTTGGGCCGCAATGGAGCAAGTTGCGTTGACTCTTCTAAGTTTTCAGGAATCAAACCTAATCGCATATATTTTACTGATGATTGGTTGGAATTTGGTAGAATCGAGGAAGGAGGGGCTGGAAGAGATATGGGGGCATACAATATAGAAGATGGAAAAATTGAATCGTTTTATCCTGAATTGTCAATAAGTCTTATTTGCCCACCAACTTGGGTTATGCCATCACTAATAACGTGATTGCAACTTATTGTTTATTTTGAATTGTTATTTTTATGGTATTATCAGTTTAAAGCTAAGTTAATCTAGTTATTCCCCTTCATTGTAATCTTGGCTGGTGGATTTTTGTTGTGTTTAATAGATGATCGAGGCTTATGATATTTAATTTGCAGAATAACAATAAAAAAGGAATATTTAGTTTGCAAATTTTAACTCTCTCATTTGATTCCCCCTACATTTATCTCCTTCGAACATGTCATTTTAGTTGTCTGTGTCTTATCTAAAGGTTGGAGGCTGAAGCAGGTTTAATCCCAGGTTCAATAGTAAACAAGTTAGTAAATTTCAGCTATTGTGCACACACTTATATCCCACATAAGAAGGACCATTTTCTACCAATATACCTGTAAAATATTTTGCTTGATAATTTCATATGCTGATGTTACGGTGCTCGAGATCAGAAGACGTTATACTTGCATCTGTTACATTGGCAAAGCTGATCAATAAGAATTACTTATATGTTAATATTTGCTTTTTATCAGTTTAGCCTTTAGTTGCATTATCGCATTTATTTGATTGACTTGGTTGCTTTGATTCTTTTATATTGAGGTACAACCGACTGAAACTTTTCGATAATTAATCTTTTTAACAACACCAAGGAGGAATTGTCTAGCGATGTTATTGGCTGGTTTTTTACCTCAATTACACACGGGATCAATGAACTCCAGTACAGAATTTATATCATTTTCAACTTTGCAAGTATAACACATGGGAAAATCGACTCATATTCAACGAACTCTTTAAATTTACTAGTATATTATATAATTTTGGTCTTAAGTATGCTGATGCAGCACATCTATAAACTAAGAATCCTATTTATCTTTTTCTTCTTTTTTGTTATTTTTTCTCTCATTCTTTCATTTGAAAAGCCTAAAAGCCATACTTTACAACTTCTGGCACCTGTTTGTATTCCAAAGTAATTCATGTAGATTAATTAAGTTATTTATACGTGAAGGAGATTCCACATTATATCTTACATAAAAAACACACAACATTTTCTAGTTCTTCTCTATCTATAACCTATTGTTCTTCTTTTTCCATTTAGATTTTCAGCTGATGAAGGAAAATTTAGCAAAGCTGCTCCTTGGCAATTATATATCTGGTTGAGATAAGGGTATCTCATCTTCACTGGATATATCAAATGTAATCACAAACCTGAATAGGTAATTTGACTTGGTGGAAAACTGGCACCACACGCAGTGTATACACCTTTAGGGGTCATTGGATTGCCAGATAAGGACACTAATGTTGGGATAGAATTTGGGATTGTATTTATCCCATGTTTAGTTATGGGTATCAGTTAATCCCGGATAAATTTTATACCAAGATGGTGGGATTAGTCATCCCAGAAGGTGGGATAGCTAATCTCATAGGATGAATATCCTTGTCTATCCCACAATTGAACAAAACGAGCCCTTAATGAATTTAAGCAGAAGTATTCATGCATATAACTAGAAAAAAGTGATAATTCAACTACTTGTGAATTTCACAAAAGCTATTTGAAAAAAAGGAAAGCAGACATTTTCTTATCAATGTCTAGTATGTTATTAAAGAAAAACTATATTAAGGTTTCTTGTATATGATTATCCTTAATTTCTCAGATTCTAGCTTCCGTTTCTTTTACTTATTTCTCATGTATGTGCTATATTAAAAAAAGTCACTTCTTAAATTATCTTAAAAACACCTCCATCTCTTCCTCTCCTAACTTCGGCATCTCTTTTCAGTTTATCAAATGATATTGCGTATTAGACGCACCCAAGGGTGTGACCTAGTGTTCCTTGAAGTGAGAGTAGAACCATAAGATCAGTTTCAAATCTTAGCTGAGGCAAAAACACTAGGTGATTTTGTTCCATCTTTCCAAGCCTTGGTGGGAAGAGTTACTAGGTACCGTGCTGGTGGGCGGTAGCAGGTACCCGATGGAATAGTCGAGGTGCGAACAAGCTGGCTTAGACACCAATGTCTAAAAAAAATGGTATTGCATATTAGACGAGTGAGATTCTTCAAAGAAAATGTCAGACCTTTAAGAGAGGCCACAATGTTCATCTGCCCAACAAGCAATTGGTGGGAAGTTTTGGTTCTCTCATCGAGTAAAATAAGGAATGTATTCAAAGGCAGTCTAAGCTAACAAAGTTTTAGGCTTTGGGTAGTAAGAGTTTCCAGCTTGGATTGTTAGCAAGTAGCCTAATTTGCAGGTAGGGTGAACTAATCTCTGCTCTATATAGGCGTGTTTATTTGCATTAGTTTTGTGCAAATAATTCAGAGAACAAGTGCTTGATGGAATCAAATGCTCCTTATAAGGTGGCATTTTTCTGTTGGTTGGTAACTCGAAGGCGTGTTTAACACAACTGTCAATTATGTTTGAAAAGCTGTTTATGTAGAGGCAAGCCAGACGGTGTTAATTACATATTTTTGCATTGCCATATTACCGCTCAGCTATGACAATGGTTTCTTAATATGGAAGGACTTAAATGGATTATCCCAAAGCATATGTGTGAGCTGCTGAAATGTTGGAGCAATAGAGGGAGGACAAAAAAGAAAAAGTGGAGCAAACTGTCCCTGCATGTATATGATTGATAGCCTGAAGGGAGAGAAATTATAGATGCTTCGGAGACAGAAATTTCCTGATCAACTGAGTTGCTTACTTTATTTTTAGTTGGTATAAATAAGACTTGTCAATGATACTGAGGCAGCTATAGATCTCATAGAATCTGTTGTGAATCAGCCCTAGTCCAATATGAGATACCAACAAGGATGTAACACAAATAGCTATTGGCCCGAGAACAAGCAACAGGGCCAGGAGGTCTTCACAGGTTAATCTGGGACCCAGGCTAGTGGGCTTGGAAAAGAAATCAATGGTGCAAATTGGGAACTGGTTAAAAGGGGCTAGGGTCTAGGAGTTAGCAAGGAACGACATACGTAGTGTGAAGAAGAATTCTGTGTCCTCTCATTCCCCTTTTCTGGTCTAAGCTTCTCATCCCTCCTTCTCTATCCTTTGTATTCAATTCAGCCATACTAGCAATAGTTCTTATATTTTGAGTTGAGGTGTAATCTCGTTTCTCGGTTGGTATGTAAATACTTTTGACAGCACCTCCTTGGTGCTATATTTATGACGCACTTACCTTTCCTTAGGAAGTACTTCATCAAACATTTTCTTTCTGATGCTTCATTTGCAATTAAACTACATGACATATGGGAACGGGCTCCACTGAACGAGAAGTAAAATATTATGACATCTAATGATAGCTAAATAAACCTTGCTTCTTTTCCTTTTGATTTCAGGTGAAGGAGATGATTGTGGCACCAGAATCCCAGTTAGACTCAGTGCTTTCTGATGATATAGGAGAAATTTTTATCAACAAGGTACTCTCATTCAATTAAACTTACTAGACAACAATATGGTAATTCTATAGTTTAAGTTAGTTAACTATCATACTTAACCCAGATTTATCTATTTTGAGGAGGCAATTCTAAATGAGATCTAAAGATAGATAGATATACAAGAGTGGCTTTTAAAAAAAAACAAGATACATACGCAATAATGGAAGAATTTTGTAGTTAGGAATCCATCTCTACTAAAGAACACTGCAATTCCATTATAAAATAATTCTCGAATTTGCTCTATTACATTGCTTTCTATATTACTAGATTACCAAAGAGTCCTGTTATTTGGTTGCACCATTGTCAAGGCACTTGCATTGCAAAGATGGAGTGATATATTGAAACTTTTGGACTTCAATGAAATGTCAGCAGTTAAATTCATTGGAACCCTAAGGGGTTGGCCTGGTGGCAATTGACTTGAGCCTTGGGGTTTGCTCCCTTTCAAGGTCTCAAGTTCGAAACCTACTAGGTGCAAACAATTTCTGAGGGCCATCGGACTGGGTAAAACCTGAATTAACCGTGGTGCACTTGCGGGAAACTCCTTGCCGAGGGCCTGTGCACCTCCGGGATTAGTCGGGGCTCTAAGAGACTCGGACACCCGGTGCAAATCAAAAAAAAAAAATTCATTGGTCTTATAGATTTTTCAAAGACCCCAAATCAGCATAGATGCCTTTGACTAGCTTTACAAGAAACGAAAATTATGATTAACATTTAGCTATTAACACTGATCAAAATGGAAAGGTAGTTCGGCATAATTTCTTTTTGTGTGTAAACTTTGCACCTATTGGTTAATAGGCTATATTACCAGGTATTTTTGCTTATTTAAAAAAAATCCTCATTCCCAGGTTATTCAAGCTGAATCATACCAAACTTCTAATGACTAATGATTTGACATGGCGAGTTATGATATTATGCAGAGATATGACAGCCATGTTTCCTAGCTTTGTGTCAAAACATGAAATGATGATGAAATTTGCAAATTCTTTTGTTAAAATGTGAATACGATGGTACACAATTGCAGTGAATATGAATCCAGTAGCCTGCTCATCATTTCTCTGCAATAACAAAAATGGAAAATACAGAAACGTTACCTAAAACATAATAAAAAAATCTAAACAAGTTATGCGGTGATCATACAACAACAACAACAATAACCCAGTATAATCCCACCAGTGGGGTCTGAGGAGGGTAGTGTGTACGCAGGTCTTACCCATACACCGGGGTAGAGAGGTTGTTTCCAATAGACCCTCGGCATCCCTCCCTCCAAGAACTCTTCACCTTGCTCTCGGGGTGACTCGAACTCACAACCTCTTGGTTGGAAGTGGAAGGTGCTCACCACTAGAGCAACCCACTCTTGTCAATAAGATACCTAGGTCCTCGCGGGTGGCCCAACAGTTGTGTGTAGGCTGGACCAGTAATCATCATGTAGGGATGCATTAATCACATCATCGATAGGGAAATTAGGCTCACCAGATTTGGTTAGAGGCATCTCGGCATGCCCCTCCCGGGAAAATGCGCATAATTGATAATACAGCCTGTGTTATTGTCCTTACGTATTTCGTAATTGTGATAGTATTCTACTGTAATACTTGTTGGAAAAAAAAAATAATTTGGGAGAGCAAGACAACACAACACTCAAACACTCACAACTCACTTTAAGAATGGAGAAGAAATGATATTTTTCATTCAACTTGACTTGTTCCAAATGGCTAGCATACATGGGTATTTATAGTAGAACTCCTACATGTATCTAGCCTAAACTTCATGTAAACACACTAACTAAATTCACATTAGTCTACACTAGTTCATACATCTCATAATGAAGTTCACATTAGTCTACACTTGTTCATACATCTCATACTAATATGAACTAACCTAAACATATTTAATATAAATGTGAACTAATGGAAACAAGTTTATTATAATTTTAACATCCCCCCTTAAACTTGTTTCATCACTCCAAGCGCCATCCTTAGCTTTTGAAAAACTTCAATCTTTAATGGCTTGGTGAAAATATCCGCAATTTGATCTTGCGACTTCACATGCTCAAGCTCCACAACTTTATTAGATATACAATCTCTAATAAAGTGATACCTTGTATCTATACGCTTGCTCCTTTCATGAAATACAGGATTTTTGGCTAACTCGATAGCCGACTTGTTGTCAACAAAAATCTTTGTGGCATCCTTTTGTGGTTGGTGAAGTTCCTCCAACAAACTTCTTAACCAAATTGCATGACAAACACATGAGCAAGCTGCAACATACTCCGCCTCACAAGTTGACAAAGTAACAATTGGTTATTTTTTAGAATTCCATGTAAATGCAGAATTTCCAAGAAAGAAAACAAACCCAGTAGTACTTTTACGATCATCAATATCACCAGCCCAATCACTATCACAATATCCCACAAACTTAGAATCCTTAGAAGATGAATAAAGAATTCCATAATCAAGTGTATCTTTGATGTACCGAAGTATTCTTTTTGCTACCTTTAAATGGGAGGTAGTAGGAGCTTCCATAAAGCGGCTCACAAGTCCAACACCATAAAGAATATCCGGCCTTGTGCATGTCAAGTACCTTAAGCTTCCAACAAGACTCTTGAAAAATGTGGGATTTACATTTTCTCCATCTCCATGCTTGGATATTTTAACTCCACATTCAACGGGGGTGCTCACGGGATTGCAATTATCCATCTCGAACTTCTTGAGAATTTCCTTTGCATATTCTCCTTGAGAAATAAAAATCCCATCCTTCCGTTGTTGCACTTGAATGCCAAGATAGTAGGACATTAATCCAATGTCCGTCATCTCAAATTCTCTAGCCATTGCTTCCTTGAATTCTTCAAACATCTTAGGATTATTTCCTGTAAAAATCAAGTCATCTACATACAAGCAAACAAGTAAAATGTCTCCATTTTTAGCAATTTTTACATAAAGTGCATGTTCATGTGGACATTTTGAAAAACCATTTGCTTGAAAATATTTATCAATTCTACTATTCCAAGCCCGCGGAGCTTGCTTCAACCCATTCTTCTTTCGGTTTCTTCAACTTCTCTTCATGTGCTTGCAAGGAACTCGAAAGCTCGTCTATGGTCATGGTGTCCAAGTCTTTGGACTCTTCAATGGCAACAACAATAAAATCAAATTTTGAAATTAAGGATCGTAGTATTTTTGCCACGACCCTATCGTCTTTCAACTTAGTGTGTTTACATGAAGTTTAGGCTAGATTCATGTAGGAGTTCTACTATAAATACCCATGTATGCTAGCCATTTGGAACAAGTCAAGTTGAATGAAAAATATCATTTCTTCTCCATTCTTAAAGTGAGTTGTGAGTTTGAGTGTTGTGTTGTCTTGCTCTCCCAAATTATTATTTTTTTCTAACATTTGGTATCAGAGCCGGTGTGGTTGAAGACAACAAACTTGGAGAAAAGATGACGAATTCTAACGGAACACCATTCCAAGTTCCTATGCTTACAAAAGAGAACTATGGAAATTGGTGTATTCGAATGAAGGCCTTGCTTGGTGCCTATGATGTTTGGGAACCAGTAGAATCCGGTGTTGATGAAGCAGAAGATGTCGTTGCCTCAAAGAAGAAGGATCAAAAGGCACTCATCCTCATCCATCAAGGTTTGGATGACAAGATGTTCGAGAAGGTTGCAAATGCAACAACCTCCAAGGAAGCATGGGATATTCTTCAAACTTCTTTTAAAGGTTTGGACAAAGTTAAAAAAGTTCGCCTCCAAACCTTAAGAGGAGAGTTTGAATCATTGCATATGAAGGAAAATGAATATGTTGTGGATTATATTTCGAGAGTTTTGGCTATTGTCAATCAAATGAAAAGATATGGTGAAGAGTTGAAAGACGATAGGGTCGTGGCAAAAATACTACGATCCTTAATTTCAAAATTTGATTTTATTGTTGTTGCCATTGAAGAGTCCAAAGACTTGGACACCATGACCATAGACGAGCTTTCGAGTTCCTTGCAAGCACATGAAGAGAAGTTGAAGAAACCGAAAGAAGAATCGGTTGAACAAGCGTTGCAAGCAAAATTTTCTTTCAAAGAGAAAGATGAAAGGCGTGGCTCGCAACAAAGAGGCCGTGGAAATGGAAGAGGTCGTGGTAGAGGCGGAAGAGGAGGTAGTCAACCACCTTCAAGTAGAGAAAATAAAGGCCAAGACGTTAATTCAAGAAGAGGTCGTGGAAGAGGGAAAGGATGGAGGCAAAATCAAGGAAGGTATGACAAATCAAATATTGAATGTTATACTTGTCATAAATTTGGTCATTTTTCTTGGGAATGTAAAGATAACTTTGAAGAGAAAAATAATTTGGGAGAGCAAGACAACACAACACTCAAACACTCACAACTCACTTTAAGAATGGAGAAGAAATGATATTTTTCATTCAACTTGACTTGTTCCAAATGGCTAGCATACATGGGTATTTATAGTAGAACTCCTACATGTATCTAGCCTAAACTTCATGTAAACACACTAACTAAATTCACATTAGTCTACACTAGTTCATACATCTCATAATGAAGTTCACATTAGTCTACACTTGTTCATACATCTCATACTAATATGAACTAATCTAAACATATTTAATATAAATGTGAACTAATGGAAACAAGTTTATTATAATTTTAATACTGCACTAAACATTTTTTGTCACTGAGGCAAGGCCCCATTCTCCTCTGGTGTATTCCATTTTATGCTATGACAACCCAGACTCTACTGGGAATTTTATTTAAAAAAAATAAAGCCTTTGTGTTTGCCTAAACCACAGCGTCTTCTTTGACGCCGAAACCTAAATTGAAATGGTAAAGAAATGGCGGGTTTGAGTTCCACTATATCTGATGCACTCAATCAAAAGAATATCTTATGGATTGCTCACAAGAGCAGTCGCAATTTGGAATTATGCACATTGAACTTGCAAATGCATAAGAAGATGGCAGTTGCAGCCACCACATCTTCATAAAGTTCTGTAACCATCTCTTGGAAAAGTTGTATCCTAGTATTATGCCATTTACGGTATCCATGCATGCCTGCCCTCGGCTTTGGCATACCATGAGTAGTAGGTAGGCATAGGTAGGAGGAGCACAGCCTATTGGAGCTACTCCTATGACTCCCATCACAACTGCTTATTCAGATCTTGGGTCTATACAAGTTATGTGTCAATGGTATACATCCGATAAACTGTTGGAATATAAAGTTGGCCTTCCATAATATCATAAGACACAAAGAGGACGGAATAAGGATATAGACGTTAAGCACATTTCAGAATGTATTGAAACTCCACTCCTACATTACAAGATCACCAAGGGAACTATTTATAGTGCTAGA